TAGGAGGGAGACCCGCGATTACCGCTTTGTCGCGCATGTCTCATTGAAAATGAATGGAGGAGAGGCGAAGTTGCCTCCCGTGTGTCGAGCCCATTAGAAGAGCACGAGCCGTCAGCGCACGCAATGAGGAAGTGCACGTGCGCTCCAAACCAGGTCTGAACCAGGACTAGACCAGTAAAGTGAAGCATGCTTTTGGCTGCTTATAATTTTCACAATGTCTGGTTTGCACTGATATGTTCCGAGTCCCGAGCCCGCACAGATGTTTTACCGGTATGTTTTACCGTGGCCCGCCCGCGCCCTATAACCCGGTGCACCTTTGGTATGTGTTAAATACCAAAAAGACACCCGTAACTGAAGCTGCGCCCTATGGTCGTGAAAATATGGTAATCCTACCTGCTGATGCAGTGCTGGATCTTGCTTCTGACTTTGGGGTTATGAACGGAAACAACATGTTTTAGGGAAAAATGCCTGTTTTTGCACAATTAGTGGCATCTGTTTCTAGAGTTTTCCTCTTTTGAATCCTTGCTTCTCCCACCCCGAGTCACCTCAAGTGTTACGTCTGGGAGCGCCTGCAGGAAAAAAGGCAGAAGCGGCCCAGGGACAGAGCGGTAGCAGCGTATGTGATCAAAGCCAGTGTCATGACTGAACACCGGCACGAAAATAAAATAAAAGAAACAAAAATAATTAAATAAATACGTTCTAAAACATTACCTTTTTTTTTTTGTACCTGACATGAGGCCCTTTCAGCATAGGTAGGCGGGCTTGGGGAACAACCCCATGGCATGATGACTTAACACTGGTCCCAAAAAAAAAATTTAAAAATAATAAAAAAAAACTAAGACAACACCAGCCCTTCCGGCCTAAATATCAGACCAGCTCCCCGGGAATTGCCCAGACCCTTCCAATTAGCCACTCCAGGCCTGTGTGTTGTCCTGCGTGGGGCAAATGGTGGCCACACCAGATGCTGACTGGTTTTCTGCCCCACCACCCCCCATAAAGCAAAACTGCACATGTCAGGGTTGCCTTTTATTGTGGGCACTCAAAGGCACACCATGCTGTCTAATCAGCCCCTTGATATGCCACACACGTGAAGTGGGATGGATTATCTTGGTGCTCACTAACACACATGTAGACAGATTTCAGAACAATACTTGAGTGATGGGTGTTTTGTGTTTGTAGACACATTTTCAAATGTTTTGAGTTCAGCTCATGAAAAATGGGGGCAAAAACTAAAGTGTTGTGTTTATATTAGAGCTGAAACAACTAATCGATTTAATCGATTATAATCGATTATTAAAATAGTTAACAACTTTTTTAGTCATCGATTAGTTGTTTAATAATCATATTTTACCGCATAAAGTCTATTTTTACCACAATCTGACATCGGTTACAATCTGTTAAATTTGCCGCCAGTGTGTGGCAGTAATGAGCCACTGATCTACCAGTGGAGCCGTAGAAGAAGAAATGAGCCAATGAGTGCCCTCGGTTTTCATGACGTATCACGTTACTGACGCTCATCTTGCTGTGAGAGATGGCGGAACAAGAAGAAATACGGAAGAAAAATAGAAGCGACAAAACTGAAGAGAAACCCCGGACTTCACTCTAGATGCCTTGAAAAGACGGGTGACCTGCAAAATATGCAAAAACCATCTAGCATGGCACGGAAGCACGACGTCCCTAAGTGAACATTTGAGACGAAAACATGGGGGGGCTGATGCAGCAGAGGAAGAGCACCGCGGTCAAGTGAGCCGTCATTTGGAAGAGCCAGCCCGGTAAGTAACAGAAAATAAACAAGCTGGACTTAGTGTTTTAGCTGAGTTCGTTATAGTGGATGTTAAACATGTTTTTTGCCGCGTCAGTCTGCGTTGTTCTACTTCTGATTGACTAAATGCAATCGTGAATCTCCTCCGTGTTGTGTATCATGCGCTTGCCAAATTTAGCACGTCTGTTTATAAGAATGTTCTCGTTAAGAGAAAAACGGCACAAACCCATGACTATGTTCCTCATTCAAAAAAGGACAACTCCGCGGAGAAAAATATACAGACGAGCTGTGTCCAGGTGAATATAACGCGGCATAGTTGTACGCTTTCAATTTATAAATACAGGAGAAATTCAGAAAAAGTCATTTTTTACTATTAAAAGGCTGTTTTACTGTCTAACGCTGTAAAACGCCTCACAACACATTTTTATCATGTTTCTTAAACAGTATTACACAAAATAATCATTTTTCACATTTCTGTAGCTAATTTAAACACTCCCGACTCAAAGTAAAAACCTCATGAGCTTCTTACTTAGAGCTTTTTAATAGTAAAAAAAAAAAATTATTTTTTTTCTGAATATCTCCTGTTGCGGGCTATTTTGTAGAACGTAACCCTCGAAATGAATGATCACTGTATATTGTTAATTAATTCAAATAATATAATATTGATTTAGTGTTGTAGTGTGTGTGCTGCTTTATTTTATATGTGTACTTATTTCAGTCTATTTGTGTTTCTTATGCAGAAAAAAACAAGCAACGATGGACAACTACATGGGGAACAAGACACTCACCCCCCAGCAATTCATACCACTTACAAACTCTATTCTAAACATGCTGGTAAAAGACATGAGGCCACTACCCATGGTGGAAGGAGCAGGCTTCCAGCTAATGCTAAAAAATTATTCTGGACTGATATTTTGCACTGTTTAGCTCATTTTATACTGCTGACTGTTCATGTGCAATAAAATAGATTGCAGTCAACTGCACACTTTTCTTATATTTTTTTTCTTAACTGAAATGCATCCATCACTTGTATAGGTTAAATAGCTAAACAATAATGAACCGATTAATCGATTAATCGAAAAAATAATCGACAGATTAATCGATTATGAAAATAATCGTTAGTTGCAGCCCTAGTTTATATTTTTGTTCAATCAGGGTATATACAGCAATCCTTAAGTAAAATTTACTACTTTTTAATACTTTTTTTTTACTACCTTCAGAATTTTTTTAAAACCATCACAACACTAAATTGCAAGTGTTAATCAGCGACCTATTTACACATTTTTTAACATATATAACATACAAAAAGAATAGACTTAGAGACTCACTGATGTTGACAACGTATTGCACATATTTATTTTACTTAGAAAATAAGCCAGGCACTTCTGTTCAGCGGTTCAGACAGTTGACCACGAGGCCTGAAATGATGCACAACGACCACTAAATATGACGTCATCATTATGTGACCGGATATGCTAAAGTAGGGCTGCTCGATTATGGCAAAAACAATAATCACGATTATTGTGACTGAAATTGAGATCTCGATTATTTAAGACGATTTTTCAATTTATGTAGATTTTTATTTTTTTTATTTTTATTCAGTCATAAAACTGCTCAGGGCACAATCAGGGCAAAAATAAACAACAAGATGATCACTAAAATAACTCCTGATTCCCAGTATAAAAAGACCAATATACTTATAGCTCAGTTTATGACCCAAGGGCTATAGACCTTGGTTTAACTCTAACCAGTACAGACCCAAATACCAATATCTTGCAAATACTGACAGCAAGAATTATACTGTGGCATTTATAACAAATAAATGCAAATTGCTGTTCACTAAATGTTGCATAGCATTTATTTAGTCGTGTCAAGGTGCTGTAGGAGAGTGCACTAGCACCGTGTCCTCAGAGAGATTAGTTATTATTTATCAGCGTGAGGAACTTATTTCTACCTTATTTATAAACTATTTATTTACAAGTCCATCAGTTAATGTAATAATTGTCCCAACCACAGCTGCACCCCCACCCCCCAACCCGGTCTCAGCAATCAGGGGCAAGCTGCACGTGTGTTTAGCGCGCCGCACGCACACATTTAGCCGTTTTTATCGGCTCAGGAGTCCGCAGGTGCGGTGTGTGTCACTCACTCTGGTTACTCCAACAGGGAGCCGGCTCCGAGAGCTGTTTCTTTAGCGAATGACACATCACTACATCATTCCCTTTCCTAATGTCCTGAAGAACGTCCGGAGTGCAGGCGGAGTTTAGCTAACCTGCAGGAAACGTCGACGATAGTTATCCAGAAAGTAGCTAAGGGTTACCAGAGATGTTTCTGAGGTGTTCGCTAGGTACTTTTAAGATTTAAAAAGTCAAGAAGCGGGTCTGAGAAGCTGTTAGAAATAGCGTCAAAGTCGCCAAGTTAACTTGGCAACACTGGGAGGAGCGCTTCATTTGCAACTCAAGGCAGCGCAAGTGGGAGGAGCAAATAATCGGCTTGTTTTGTTTTTATAATCGTTCAAAACACTTCATTCGGAATATATTTCTATGTCGATGTTCAGAATACGACATCTGATAGTCTGAAAAAAATAATACCTAATTTGGAAAAAATAATACCTAATTTGGAAAAAATAATACCTCTGAGACCAAATTTAACACTTTTAATGGCCTTAAATTTGACTATTTTTATTTATCACTTTTTAATACTTTTTAAAACCCCGCGGACACCCTGTTAATGTACAAACAGTTGTATGGTATTAAAGTTTGTTTTAGTTTCATTTGTAGTTTATCGTACATGGTCTCCTCATTATAGTTATTACAGACGGCCTAGAAAATGAATAGGAGTAAATGCAGCTGGGTTTTAAATTTTGTATCATTTAGAAACAGTTAAGGTTTAAGATTTTCATTTTGAAGAATTTTGTACAACATTACGATGATAAAATACAAACAGCTGTATGTTATTCATCATGATATTTATCAAATACGGTTATATATTGAGAAAAATATATATATTTAATTAAAAATGAGAATTAATTAATTACTAAACATGCAAAAGTATCAAAATTTGGTACCATTAAGTACCGGTATCGATTCCTAGGTACCGAGAATTGGTACCGAATGGATTTAAATGTGAAAGGTACCAATCCCTAACAAGGCACCATCAGCTGGACTAAAGTGGAAGTGTAACAAATGGGTATCAAGAGGAATCAACCAACTGTAAACCAGTTAACGTAATTGGAAGTCACCTGGGATTTGTTGATCACATGGTTGGCCTCCAGCTGGTTGGTGAATTTCACCTCAAGTTCAGAGGAAAAAGAGCCCATGGGTGATAGGGTTCCTGATGTCAGCACAATGCTGTGCACTGACCTGCTCAGGTCAGAGAAAGCCTGAGAAGAACAGTAACAAAGTCTCAGCTACAACTGATCCATGGTCTCCAGGCAGGAATCAGACAGAAACAGAAAAACTAATCATTTCAGAGCTAAACCAGCATCACTCAATGGAGGTGCTGATCAGGTTGAAGCTCTCACCACAGCTGGATTCAAGCACCAGAAACTCAACATCTGGACCTCCGTCTTAACGCGAGCACTCTTACGGTGTGTAGGATGTGGACGGACAAAAAACCCGTTAGCATCAGGGACATCAGGAGGTACCCGATTTACCCAAGCATAGCTCTGCTGCAGAGCTACACGGTAGTCCTCAGCAAACCTACACACACACACACACACACACACAACTGAGCAACCTTTCATCTAAATCAGACGAGGGAAGACTTCACTCTGGTCTCTGACCTGCAGTTGTCCCTGAAGAGAAAGTCCAGCACCATGAAGATGCTTTTAAAGAAGGTGGCGGTCGCTGAGCTGATGGTTGGGACCGTCTTCATGAGCTCCTTACCGTCGACGACACCAGCTCGCTCCTCCTTCTCCAAAACTGCCGTGAGGTGTTTCTGTCACACAGAAACAGCATTTTTTGATTATTTCTAAATGTTGGTAAAACACACATTTTAAACTTGGTAAAACACACATTTTAAACTTGGTAAAACACACATTTTAAAACATTAACAAATTTCAACCAGAAGCTGTTTATTGGCATCATAGAGCTCTACTGTTTAGGACATGTTGGTTTAAGTAAAGAAACTGAAGCCAAACTGTTGAAATGACCTTTAAATTGCTGAAGGTGTCTGGAATGATGCCAAAACCATGAAAGATCTGCAGTATTTCTGTCCCACTCCAGACTTTGCAGGAACTCTCGTACCCACGTTCAGACAGCAGGGCCTGGCTCTCGCAGATCAGGCTACACGGGTGAGAAATAAACCCTGAATACAGCTGAAAGCTTCAGCATGAGAACGTGAACTGTCAATAAACCACCGACTTCAGCAACATGCAGCAGAAGCCCCTGAGAGGCTCATGGTCAGAGCATCTGATGTTGAGTTTGATCAAGCCATCCAGCTCCTCTTTGGACATCTGCAGAGTGTTGTTGTCTACAGTAAAGCTGGCACACTCTCGTGCACAATCCTCAATGTTGTGGGCCTCGTCCAGCACCAAGATCTGTCCTGTCAGGTCTATGTCCATCTGGAACAAATAAATGTAAAATCAATCCGGCAGGTTTCTTCCCTCATAACTTTCATCTTCTTCAGCTCATCTAATAACAGCACAGAAGGGACACTGGCTCCAAGTAGAGAAGTCATGTGACCAACTGGGAAGATGGCAGTAAAATTCCAATAGACCATAAACCTTTGAGTGGTCCATAAAAACAGGAGAACATAAATGTTAAACATCAAACTCTACTCACATTCTCTCTGATCATGGGGTCCAGCAGGTAGTTATAGGGACAGAAGATGATAGAGGCGCCCTGCATGAGCTCACGAGCAGCGTAGTAAGCACAGGAGCGGAGCCGTCGGCCTAGAGACACCAGGTCCTCCACGTCCCATGCTCCACACAGTCCATGGACTGACTGCAGTAAATGCTGAGTTCCCATCTTTTTGACTCCATGGTAGTAGCGACACGAGCGCCCCTGTAAGGCACACATTTAACAGCTTCATTCAGAGAAGTGGTGATGTTAAACCAATTTGCCAAAACTGGTTTATATCTTAATAAAATGTGTGGGTCTACAAAGGTGGTCAAAGGTTAAGAAACTCTGGTTTCAAAGTTTAATTTTCCGCCAGATGTTTCTATGGTTACTGGAGTAGAACCACTCGAGGTTTCAAAGGTTTTTTACTGACAATTACAAGAAGTTGACCCAAATATTAAATATTCCCAGTGTTTGGGCCTCTTGTCATCTAATAATGCTACAAATATTTTAGTTGCAGACATTCTGGACTCAGAGTGAACTTCTCCCACTCAGAAACTATAAACAGAACTCACCATGACCTTCTACTGCATGGAACCATCAAAAACACTTTTTACACATATCTGTAAGTTTAAACATTTTATTACTATGACCCTGGTCAATGTGGCAAAGTCAAAAGCAGAGCTACGACTCATCTTCTACAGCTGATCATCTGCTCATCACACTTGAGCATTGGAAACATCTGGAAGCCCAGTTTTATCAGGCTGGCTTTATGACCATACAACAATACAGCATATTAATTATTAACTATTAACATTAAAACAAAAATAACTGAGTTTTTATTTTAAAGTATTTTATGTATTTTTCCGTGTACAGCTTACACGTTCAGACATTGATACGGTGCATGTAGCCTATCCTGCAGCTAGTCCTGACTACTACAAGTAGACGTGTCCTCTTAGATGTCCCACCCTGTTCTTTGTGACTTTAACAGCTTAAGGTGACACTGTCACAAAAACACTTCACATAGGTGGACCCGGCTACAGACAAAGCAATCATCTGTGGATAATATGGTCCTCTTCTCTTCGAGCTGTGCTAAGCATGGACCTTTCATAGACACCAAGCCCTGGTGGCAGAGTCACACAGCTGTTTTGAGGGTAGGGGTGTGTGTGTGGGAGGGTGGGGGGGTGTTAAGGCCTCCAGCTACCCTCAGAACAACTCTGACCAAAGTGTCCAGGAAGCTGTTGTGTTAGGAGCAGTTTCTCTGTGCATCAGAGTCAGTACTGCAGCATAACCTGACAATGACTGAACCAGACCCTTAGGTCACACACACACACACACACACACACACACACACACACACACACACTCAGGGTGTCAGTGACACCTGCTTATGTGTGTGTGTGTGGGGGGGGGGTTATTTCGAGGGCAGCTTTTCATGACAAAAGTGAGATGATTGCTATGGGAGGCTAACACCTCTAATGACAACATAATTGTCTATATTACAGTAGGCGCCCGAACTTCAGGACATTATAGGAGGTTACAAGTGTATCACATCTCCAAAAATGGTCCTTGATATTCTAGAGTGTCAAAAAAGTTCTGTCAACCAATTGTGTATAATTGCTTCTCTGAGGCTATGTGTTCATTATGTGACTCTCCTCAGTGTTAGGTGTGTCAGTAACTGCATGTCCCACACTTCCTGATGAATCTTTGTTGTTTTTCACATGATGTTTTTGTGTGTGTGTGTGTGTGTGTGTGTGTGTGTGTGTGTGTGTGTGTGTGTGTGTGTGTGTGTGTGTGTGTGTGTGTGTGTGTGTGTGTGTGTGTGTGTGTGTGTGTGTGTGTGTGTCCGTTCCTCACCTCTTTGTCCTCCAGCAGCTCCTTGCACAGCTCGTTGCGGTTGAAGTGAGGTACCACATCTGAATGAACACAGGTGTGCTTTCTGCTGGACAAGATGGTCATCTGTACGCTGGAGTACGCTGTGCGCTTCAGCTCATGTGCAATCTGAGTAATCTGTTTATGGGTGCGTGTGCCAAAGAAAATCTTTGGAATCTTCTTTTTGCCATCTTTGTCCTTCACACCATCTTTGGCTGAGGCACAAGGGCAGTGGGAGCAGGGCTCAGACATCTGGACACACACACAGAACAGGTTCACTGGATGTTCTCAACATCTCATCACGTACAGCGCTAGAGTGGTGGTGTGGGTCTGGCTTACTGGGTGGGGTTCAGCTATACACACCTGTAGGATCATTTTAGACATTTATCTGAGCTTACTTCCCAATAAAGACACATTTCAAATACGTGGCCAAAAAGCACAACATTACTTTTCCTCCTGGTTTGTTGTGTTTCCACTAAGGTCTGAGCTACGTCAGCAGTGAGTGCTCTACGTCCTCCCTGAAAGTCCCAGATTATGTCAAAGGGCCTACCTTCCAACCAGGGAGGTATACTAAAGATTGGTTTATGCTTGACGCGTCCGTGAGGTCCGCGCGGCTAAATTGCGTCATTTTAACAACCACACCCCTCCACCGCACCTCCGCACGGCCCAAAATTTCCGCACCGCGCACCTAGGAAATTTTCTAACCACGCGGACGGTCGGACGCGGAAAAACATCGCGGACTGGCAAGAACTAGTATGGCAGAGGTTTGTAAATACAGACATTTGTATGATTCAGCTCTCAGAGATCGCCATGATCAACATGTTAATAATTCTTGGAGAGAAATAGCTCGCACTGTCGGAAAAGACGAGGACGCTGTTAAAATTGCTGGAATGCCATGTTGTAAACAGTAATTTTTACTTCTACTATGGTGTAGTGTTGGATGCATGCCATAGAGCTCCATGCTGCCCCCTACAGCTTGGGAGAATATTGGCTCACCACAGAGACAAGCCGCATGAACCATAAATGCTGAGAGTTGTGAAGCGCGTTCCAGCCGCGAGCCGCATCACCAAGCGGAAAGTGAATGTGTCATGCATAAACCCAGCTTAAGGCAGGGGTGTCGAACTCAAATTTGCTCTGGGCCAAAATGAAAAACTGGGACGAAGTTGCGGGCCAAACTCAATATTTTTTCAAAAGTGACTGCAAATGTGCACATTTGCCTTTACTACAGATATGAACGGTTGAACCTTTTCATTTGAAAACAAACTTAATTTTGCAGTAACACTGAATGTGGAGTACGGGCTGCATGACTTAACTTTTTTAAGTCAAGTAATTAAAATCGAGTCGACTTTGACTAGTCGTTGATGACGTCATACACCTGAAGTGGGTTGGTTCGCTGGAGTTTTTGACAATTAAAATTGCCCCCACATTTGCAACGTTAAACACAATGGTAGTTTCTGCATCTTTACTGTTCCCCTGCTTCAAACATAAAAGGAAATGAGCCAACATGAACGATCGCGTGTTAAATTAGTTTTTGAGGTGGCGACACCTAATTTGATAATGTTACTGTGGCCGTGCTCAGGATGCAGATGTCTGAAGCGTGTCAACGATCAGAGCTTTGCATGCACAAGCTGGTTAAGGTTAGGATGGGGGTGAGGGGAAGGTTAAATTGCAAGAGGGTAAAGGTCACAATTTGGTCAAATGTCTGTTTTTCCGCGGGAGTCAGATACCGACGCAGTGGCACAGCGCGTCGCCTCCCAACACGCAGGGGCTGGTCACCTGCTGTCTTTTCCGAGGACTGCATCTTGTCGGTCATTATCACGTGACAGCGACTAGTCTTTGAAAGGCATAAAGTCACTACAGAGCAGTGAAGTCAACTAGTCGAATAGTTCATACAACCCCTAATGTGGAATAACCAAATTACACACAAACATGTCAATTTTAAATAAAGCACACATCAATGGTGTTAGTTACTTATGTCTAAATTTTTCTACATATTTTATTCCTTAAAATCTGTATATATTCAGCATTTCTTTTTATTTTTGAATCTTTTAAGTGTTTCTATTTTATGTTTCCTTGTTTATTCTTATTTTTACTATACGTTGCTGCTCCTGTACTGAATGTTATTGCTGCTGTGACACCAAGCTTTCCCCACTGATGGACAATTAAGGGATTTTCTATTATATTTCTACTCTATTCTTCTGTCTGTAATCTTTCCCGTTTTAAAGTAGGTGAAATATTTTTTTCACAGGCCAACAACATAAATAAAAACTAGTAATTCTCTTAAATAAAAATGCAATATCTCACCTATCAACTTTCATGCTTTGGAGCAGACAAGGTTAATAAAAGCAAAATAACTCTATCCCAGTTTTCTCCACTCTGGTTTCCAGTGATGCTCACCTGTTCCCGCCAGACCTGCATCTGTGGGGCTGGGCTCTGAGCTGAGGAAGGAGTTCATCAGTGAGAAACAGTTGCTCACACAGTTTTGTGCTGCTGGACATGGAGAGCATCTGGACCACGCAGTTGTGTCGGGGAGGGGGATAAAAGCCGCAGCCGCCACTGAGTCATTGTCGCTTGAGAGTGTCGCTAAACCAGAGTTAAATCATCTCGGTCTGGAAGTTGGTCGGTGCGCTTTCTATGTCAGCAGCAAACATTACTGAGCTGTTAAAATCCATTTCTTGGCTTCAAAGTCCTCTAATTGCTGAGAGTAAACTCGGTGCTGAGTAAGAGGAGTGTTTCCAGTTTGCCCGAGGCAGAGGAGGTAACGCTGCAGATGCTGATGCTAGTAGCATGGACACTAATGAGGATGCTAATGACTGTAAAGACATACCAGTTTTTCTCCTTGAAGCATCAACATGTTCCATCTTTGTTGAAACACCCTTCCTTCTGCATCAATCTTTCTCTTCATGGACATTTTGGGATGATGTTGTCATGAACTGAACTAGAAGGATCCGTGATGACACCAAACATAGTGAAGCACCTTTAAAAGTCTTAATTAGACGTGGCGTTACCCGAGGAAGGCGAGGCTGGAGACAGAGTTGGAGAGAAGGCGTGGGTCAAAAACCAGAACGAGGCGAAGCAGGTAAATGGAGCAGGTTAGAGAAGAGGTCAAAGGCAGGTGAGTGTCGTGATGGCAGGCAGAGTCCTCGGCAGGGGTCAGGCATGAAAACGAGGTCCGGAGGCTGTGATCAGGCAAGGTGAAAGGCTGGAAGATCTACTGGCACAGAGCGTTCAATAATCTGGCACTGGTTGGAGAGCAGGCTGGGAGTTATATAGCAGGGGGAGCAGGTGTGTGAGTTGAGCTGATGACAGGAACAGGTGAGATGAATGAAGTTGATGAGGTGCAGGCTGAGGTTATTAAGTGGCTGAGGGCTTGATTGAGGAGGCAGCAGAGGCAGAGGAGGGTGTCAGCCTGGGAGTCATGACAGTACAACCCCACCCCGGCCTTTTTTTGGAAAGGCAAAGGTGGGATCCCCGCTGGACGCAGTGCGACCTCTGGGACCACAGCTGGAAGTGGATGCGGTGCAACCCCTGTGACCACCGCTGGACCTGGACAGGCGGAGCCTCTTGGAAAGGGGAAAGTGGGATCCCCGCTGGACGTGGTGCGACTTCTGGGACCACCGCTGGACGTGGATGCGGTGCGACCCCCTGGACCACCGCTGGACGTGGATGCGGTGCAACCCCCTGGACCACCACCGGATCTGGATGCGGTGTGACCCCTGGGACCACCGCTGGATGTGGACGCGGTGCGACCCCCTGGACCACCGCTGGATCTGGATGCGGTGCGACCTCTGGAACCACCGCTGGACGTGGATGCAGTGCATCCTCTGGGACCACCGCTGGATGTGGATGCGGTGCGACTCCTGGGACCACCACTGGACATAGATGCGGTGCGACCACTAGGACCACCGCTGGACGTGGCATGGCAAGAGGGGCTTGAGGCCTGAGCGGCGTGGCTGCTAAACCTCGGATCCGGGCACCGGTCACCTGACAAGCCTGTTCCCTGGTTCGGAATAGATCCAGGATTTCGGCCACCCTGGTCTCCAAAACGGAGAAGGCGCATTCTACTCCGAGTCGCTCTTCCTGTGTTGGCATCGAGTCCAGGTTGTGGCCAGATTATTCTGTCATGAACTGAACTAGAAGGACCCGTGATGACACCAAACATAGTAAAGCACCTTTAAAAGTCTTTATTAGACGCGGCGTTACCCGAGCAGGGAGAGGCTGGAGACAGAGTTGGAGAGAAGGCGTGGGTCAAAAACCAGAACGAGGCAAAGCAAGTAAATGGAGCAGGCTAGAGAAGAGGTCAAAGGCAGGCGAGGGTCGTGATGGCAGGCAGTCCTAGGCAGGGGTCAGGCGTGAAAACGAGGTCCGGAGGCTGGGAACAGGCAAGGTGAAAGGCTGGAAGATCTACTGGCAAAGAGCGTTCAATAATCTGGCACTGGTTGGAGAGCAAGCTGGGAGTTATATAGCAGGGGGAGCAGGTGTGTGAGTTGAGCTGATGACAGGAAAAGGTGAGACGAATGAAGATGATGTGATGCAGGCTGAGGTTATTAAGTGGCTGAGGGCTTGATTGAGGAGGCAGCAGAGGCAGAGGAGGGTGTCAGCCTGTGAGTCATGACAGATGTGTGGATATTTATTTTCACTTGTTGCATTAATTAAACACGGAAGTGGATACACTGCGACCTAGTGGCGAGTCACTGCACTGGGAACACAATCGCAATGCGTTATGGGAAATGTAGTTTATAGCCAATGTGTGCTTTGAAGCGGCATAGACCTATTTTACGACACTTGAATATCTTGCGGGCCACATAAAATGACGTGGTGGGCCACATCTGGCCCGCGGTCCTTGTGTCTGACACGTGTACTAAAGTATACTTCTAATCAAATGATGTGTTAGGGGTAAAAGAAAAGTCCCAGACACCTACCCTGATCCCTGAAAAAGGTTTTTACGTAGAAATGCACCTTAAAGAGAGGGTCGAGGCCTGGGTGGAGACGTATTTCATCCAGACTTCCTGTTAGGAAGACGCTTCTGAAAGAGGCGTCTCCTGGCGGACCGAGAGAGCGGCAATGAGGCAGTGGTAGACCACATCCCCGTCAACCCCCCCGCGTGTGCTGTCGGAGTTTCTCAATCTAAAAACTAGCTGTTAACAAGCGCGTGCACACTCGCGCACTCACACAAGACTTACCCGTTAGGAAAAGCAGACAGATTCTGCAGCATTCTGGAGGATTTCCTGTTAACCACGATCATTAGATGA